GAAGATAACAAGTGAGAAAAACAACAACAAATTAAAATAAAAACAATTATCATTTTTATTTTTTAAAACAACTATTCTACGTTAAGATATAGACAATTATTTACATAAAATCTGGATTTACCAAAAAACGACGTCCAGTATACTATTGCAAAGTACTTGAGTACTAGAGTAGTAAAACAAAAATAAATGATGTGCAGTATTGTTATGCAAAGTGGATGAGAGGTAACTTGCGTACAAATGTGCAACATATTTGGAGGGTTGTGCAGAACTGGCAATACTTCAATTAAAAACAAGATATAGTTTGCATAGTGTGCATTAATATAATCCATACAGAGTGGCTGAGTGTCAGTGGGGGTCCGAGCCTGGTAAGGCTTATCATGTTATAATAACGGCATCATGTAGAAATGCTATAGCATAATTGCTTTAAAAACATTCAATATCAGTGTTGAGTAGATGACCGACTCCATAGGAGCAGGAGAGAGGGTTCGTCTATGACTTTGCATGTTGGCATGCAACATAAGATCTCCATATCCGGACACATGGAACTAGGAACTAGTGCTGTTACATAAGAGACAACAGGTGTTAGACAGCATGAAGAGAGAGGGCTACTGGCATTAATGCAGTCTAGCAAATCCCTACGTGTGTGTGTGTGTGTGTGTGTGTGTGTGTGTGTGTGTGTGTGTGTGTGTGTGTGTGTGTGTGTACATGTGTATGTGTGTCTGTGTGTGTGTGTGTGCGTGTATGTGTATGTGTGTGTGTTTATTAGTCTGTTTCATGTTGTGCCCACTGCTTGTTGCATGTAAAGCTGTTCTCCTCCGCCCCCCCGCCCCCGCCCCCCCCAGGCGCCACTTCAGACTCTATATTTGAACGGCCTTCCCCCAGGCCCCCAGAATGCCTTTGGATCTGCACAGTATGTGATGGCAGGCCCAGAATGCAACAGGAATCTGGCTTTCTCCAATGTTGCATTGAGAGAAGGTCTTAGCTTCCCCTGAGGGGAGGGGAGGACAACTGGTGTGGGCTGCAGGGGTGACCACACGCTCTGCACTCACTTTATTGAGTAGTTCATGCTGAGCCTTTCTTATAGATGTCTTTCCCTCGGTTTGAGGACATTGAAGTTCAACTTATGACCAATTATTTGACTGTTATCCAATCCTGAAACTCTGAACCCGACTTCACTCTAATCCCCATCAAGTTGTCTATAAATCCCTCCCTCACCTTGACTGCCTCTTTCCCTTTTTCCACCTGCTTTCCATGTTATGAGAGTACAAAGAGAACAGCAGGAGTTGAGAGCAGGATGTGAGGAGGGTCTTCTGAGAACAGAGAGAGGGTCTGCTGAGAACAGAGAGAGGGTCTGCTGAGAACAGAGAGAGGATCTGCTGAGAACAGAGAGAGGGTCTGCTGAGAACAGAGAGAGGGTCTGCTGAGAACAGAGAGAGGGTCTGCTGAGAACAGAGAGAGGATCTGCTGAGAACAGAGAGAGGGTCTGCTGAGAACATGGAGAGGGTCTGGTGAGAACATGGAGAGGGTCTGGTGAGAACATGGAGAGGGTCTGCTGAGAACATGGAGAGGGTCTGGTGAGAACAGAGAGAGGGTCTGCTGAGAACAGAGAGAGGGTCTGCTGAGAACATGGAGAGGGTCTGCTGAGAACATGGAGAGGGTCTGCTGAGAACATGGAGAGGGTCTGGTGAGAACATGGAGAGGGTCTGGTGAGAACATGGAGAGGGTCTGCTGAGAACAGAGAGAGGGTCTGGTGAGAACATGGAGAGGGTCTGGTGAGAACAGAGAGAGGGTCTGCTGAGAACATGGAGAGGGTCTGCTGAGAACATGGAGAGGGTCTGCTGAGAACAGAGAGAGGGTCTGCTGAGAACAGAGAGAGGGTCTGCTGAGAACATGGAGAGGGTCTGGTGAGAACAGAGAGAGGGTCTGCTGAGAACAGAGAGAGGGTCTGGTGAGAACATGGAGAGGGTCTGGTGAGAACAGAGAGAGGGTCTGCTGAGAACAGAGAGAGGGTCTGCTGAGAACAGAGAGAGGGTCTGCTGAGAACATGGAGAGGGTCTGCTGAGAACAGAGAGAGGGTCTGCTGAGAACAGAGAGAGGGTCTGCTGAGAACATGGAGAGGGTCTGCTGAGAACAGAGAGAGGGTCTGCTGAGAACATGGAGAGGGTCTGCTGAGAACAGAGAGAGGGTCTTCTGAGAACAGAGAGAGGGTCTGCTGAGAACAGAGAGAGGGTCTGCTGAGAACAGAGAGAGGGTCTGCTGAGAACAGAGAGAGGGTCTGCTGAGAACAGAGAGAGGGTCTGGTGAGAACATGGAGAGGGTCTGCTGAGAACAGAGAGAGGGTCTGCTGAGAACAGAGAGAGGGTCTGCTGAGAACAGAGAGAGGGTCTGCTGAGAACAGAGAGAGGGTCTGCTGAGAACAGAGAGAGGGTCTGGTGAGAACATGGAGAGGGTCTGCTGAGAACAGAGAGAGGGTCTGCTGAGAACAGAGAGAGGGTCTGCTGAGAACATGGAGAGGGTCTGCTGAGAACAGAGAGTGGGTCTGCTGAGAACAGAGAGAGGGTCTGCTGAGAACAGAGAGAGGGTCTGCTGAGAACAGAGAGAGGGTCTGCTGAGAACAGAGAGAGGGTCTGCTGAGAACAGAGAGAGGGTCTGCTGAGAACAGAGAGTGGGTCTGCTGAGAACAGAGAGAGGGTCTGCTGAGAACAGAGAGAGGGTCTGCTGAGAACAGAGAGAGGGTCTGCTGAGAACATGGAGAGGGTCTGCTGAGAACAGAGAGAGGGTCTGGTGAGAACATGGAGAGGGTCTGCTGAGAACAGAGAGAGGGTCTGGTGAGAACAGAGAGTGGGTCTGCTGAGAACAGAGAGAGGGTCTGCTGAGAACAGAGAGAGGGTCTGCTGAGAACATGGAGAGGGTCTGCTGAGAACAGAGAGAGGGTCTGGTGAGAACATGGAGAGGGTCTGCTGAGAACATGGAGAGGGTCTGCTGAGAACATGGAGAGGGTCTGCTGAGAACAGAGAGAGGGTCTGCTGAGAACAGAGAGAGGGTCTGCTGAGAACAGAGAGAGGGTCTGCTGAGAACATGGAGAGGGTCTGCTGAGAACAGAGAGTGGGTCTGCTGAGAACATGGAGAGGGTCTTGTTCTGACCTTTCTCACAACAGACTGTCATTAGTGATGTGTCCCCACCTGGCTGTGAGTGAGTAACCCGCTCTGGAGGACGCACCGTCTGCTTTCAGCACTAACTGATTGATAATGTCAGGGGAAGCGTATGGCTGTTTGTTTGTTTGTTTGTTTGTTTGTTTGTTTGTTTCTTAACAAAAGCTTTATTTTACAGGGCTGACTGTTTTTGGGGGGATAGTCATAAAACTACTCTATAACTTTCCGTGGAACTTTTTATTTATTTTTAACACAGATTTTTACCATATTTAAGCTTTTTGTACCTTTTTTCTAAACTACAATATTCATGCAAATAATTGTAAATACCTGATGATCACTTTGCTGCTCTACATCTACAGGTGACCTCAACATTAGCACAAAGACAATATAGTGTAATACCTCAATCCTGTGTGTGTGTGTGTGTGTGTGTGTGTGTGTGTGTGTGTGTGTGTGTGTGTGTGTGTGTGTGTGTGTGTTGTGTGTGTGTGTGTGTGTGTGTGTGGTGTGGTGTGTGTGTGTGTGTATGTTGTGTGTGTATGGTGTGTGGGTGTGTGTGTGTGTGGTGGTGTGGTGTGTGTGTGGTATGTGTGTGTGTGTGTGTATGTATGTCTGTGTGTGTGTGTGTGTGTATGTGTGTGTGTGTGTGTGTGTGTGTCTGTGTGTGTGTGTGTGTGTGTTTGTGTGTGGGTGTGTGTGTGTGTGTGTGTTGTCGTCTGTGTGTGTGTGTGTGGTGTTGTGTGGTGGGTGTGTGTGTGTCGTGTGGTGTGTGTGTGTGTGTGTGTGTCTGTGTGTGTGTGTGTGTGTGTGTGTGTGTGTCTGGGTGTGTGTGTGTGCTGTGGTGTGTGTGTGTGTGGGTGGGGTGTTGTACATGTGTGTGTGTGTCTGTGTGTGTGTGTGTATGTGTGTGTTCTGTGTGTGGGTGTGTTGTGTGGCTAGTGTGTGTTGTGTGTGTCTAGTGTGTGTTGTGTGTGTGTGGTGTGTCTGTGTGTGTGTCTGTGTGAGTGTGTGTCTGTGTGTGTCTGTGTGTGTGTGTCTGTGTGTGGGTGTGTGTGTGTGTGTGTGTCTGTGTGTGTGTGTGTGTTGTGTGTGTGTGCGTGTGTGTGTGTGTGTGTGTGTCTGTGGCTGTGTGTGGTGTCTGTGTGTGTCGTGTGTGTCGGTGTCTGTGTGTGTGTGTATGTGTTTGTGTGTGTGTTGTGTGTGTGTGTGTGTGTGTGTGTTGTGGTGTGTGTGTGTGTGTCTGTGTGTGTGTGTGTCTGTGTGTGTGTGTGTGTGTGTGTGTGTGTGTGTGTGTGTGTGTGTGTGTGTGTGTGTGTGTGTGTGTGTGTGTGTGTGTTCAGCGTGATGTCCAGACGAACAGAGACATCTCTTGATCTTAGCAGTATTCATTGAAAACAAAATGGAATATCTAGACTTTAAAAGACACTAAAGGTCTGCACAGAAACAGTATGCCGTATGTCAATGATTGAATCTCACGTGTTTTTGAAAGCGTTGCATCGGCTCCATCTGTGTGGGGAGAGAATCTTGTATCTAAAACATGTTAGTATTGCCCTGACTCTGAACGGTACTTGTTGATGTGTAAGAGTGTTTTTTAAACTGTGAAAGTGTACATGTTTACTTTCCTCTGCATAGAGGCTACTGGCATTATTTCTGAAGCATTTGAATGTTGCTTTAGCTCAGGGTGTTGGCTGGATTAACAACCAGATACCTGCTGAAGACCGCCTGGGGCCCACGGCTCCTTTTGGCTCATTTCACCGTGTTTAATGAACCAAGCCGTTGATGTGTGCACACTGTCTGTATGTAATGTATGTTGTATCATTCTAATATGTATCTTGTCTTCTGTCTTTCAGGACCTCCAGTAAGTACCCGGCCCCTGTGTGACCTGCATGTGGTAAAGTGACTGCTTATGTTTGCACTATGGTATACGGTGGATAAACAAAACATACTATTGTCTTGTCTGGATGCAATGATAATGTGCAGTGCTATTTTATATTATTATAATTAACAAACATAATTATATTCTGACATCAATGAAATACATGGAATGGTTTCCAATAGGCTACACATTGTCCAAACTGTTCTGATTGTTGCAAATCATTGCAGTTTAGTCATTTCCTGTGTGAATGTGTCCTCTGACAGACAGAGGAGTTCAGAGGGGTTTCTGAACTCTACATGTTCTGGGTGGGTTTCCCCCAGATGAAGGACTCGCAAGGTGTCAATGTGACTGTGGACCACTGTTGGTCAGTGGTGGGACAGACTGTCCACCTCTGGCCCAATGAATCCTGGGATCAGTCCCAGCCCCATGCACCCCTGCAGACACAGGACAGTGGGTCACATCAGATATAGTAAATAGTTTAAATGAAGGTTTTGGGTAGAATGAAAGCTCCGGACTCCTGCGCCTCGATTGGCCGAACATTTCCAGACATCTAGCCTCTATGAGTTTGACTTCTGTGGATCAATGTCAGTTTGAAAATGACTTCTGCCAAATATCCCTCCCTGGAACATTTGAGGGAAAGTTTCTGCAAAGGAAGTCTTAAGGTACATGAGGTCAGACAGCGAGGCGGATTTTCCACTTCCATCTCCACAGGACCTGAGACTTTCAAATTCCCCCAAAATGGCACAACACAACTCTTTTTGATGCCCTGGTGCCTGCTGAAGACCTCTGTTCTTAACACTGACTGCATCAAAGCAGAATGTCTTTTGGGGAGTACGGTCATTTCAAAGTAGGTGAACAGAGTTGATAGCTATAAGCTAAATCTACATAAATCAAACTCTCCTTCAGAAAACGTATCTGATGGCTACAGCATCACATTGAAACGAATCATTTTGATGAGCAAATATATGCTTCTGTTTGAACAGATGAAGCAGAGCTGATGAGACTTTAAAGCCTGATTGACTTTAACCAGCCTTGTCAGTGAACTTTGGAGTACTCACCCATGTGGACATTTCAAAACAAAATTATCTCCTGCTACCTTTTGGAATCCTTTTGATCTACCAAGATAATTTGACTAGTTCAATCTAGCTAACCAAACCAAGGAAAGAGAACCACAGAACCAAGAGAAGGAGCCTTCTTCAGCGACACTAACTGCTCATGCTCTCTCTGTCCACGTGTTTCCAGCTGTATGGGAGCACCAACGGCAGATGCTGGGTCAAATAAAACCAATAACAATGATGAAATCAAACCTATCTTCTTTACATCCCAACTCACTTCTTGAACAGGGAGCACCCCGGGGACCCTCCAGATACGTTGGCCAAATATACCCCCCACTCCCAGCATTCCCATTCATTCAGCAGCACTTTGCCAAATGGGAGCCACATGTTGGAGGGTTACTGTGTAATTCAAGTGAAGGGTTCCTTCCGGCACTGGGAGACCTTTGCCCCCTGCAGATGGCCCCAGGAGACCCAGTAGCTAATGGGCAGGCACTTACATGCAGCATGTTCACACTCAGCACCTGGACGTGCCCCTCGGTGCGCTGCCCCCCCACTGCCAGCCCGAGGTAGTGGAAATACTATGCCAAGCAGCAGGGCAAGCACATTTCTATCACATGCACGAGAACAGCTTCATTGGGAAATGTGTGGCTTTTTTAACATTATAAAACAATTGGGGGTCCGCAACACACTGTGGTACTGTCCCCAATACGAGTTCTGTTGTAAAATACATTGATTTCCTACACGCTAAAAAGGTCTTTGTATAGCAAGTACTGCATTTGTATGGCGAACAGCACTTTACACAGCTACTATTTTTTCTACAGTATATGAACAACACATTGACATTAAACTTATGAAACAATGACACAACAGAGGAGAACGGAACATCATTAAAGGAATATTACGCTGACCTGTTTTTGTGCATTCGAAGCCTTAAAAAGTGGCGTTTCAAAAGTGTATAGCCATTTAACTATCACTGCACCAAGATTTATAAAATCCTTAGAAGCGTCCACAAAATAACTAAATGTCCAACTCCTAGCCTCTAAAAGCCACTGTGTGTCGGTTTGTTTTTCAGACATTTAAGTCATTGGAAAATTCCCCAAAACACATTCTGTGTGCTCCACCAGTTGTCAGTTAAAATGCTAAGGACATTACGGTGTGATCTGCATCATTACCTTCCAATGAGGCCATCTAGTACAGTAGTACTAGCAGTGCTGGCATTCTACAGTATGTTCAATAATGAAATCACATGTCCTAACCCTAACCCTAACCCTAACCCTAACCCTAACCCTAACCCTAACCCAAAGAAAGAGATTTTCTATCAATATCTAAATAAACATTTGTATTTGAACATCAACGCCAGTATCCATGAGCTGGATGTCTGACTAACCTACCATTCAGGACTGAATGACCTCCCCTCTCTTGCTGACGCACACACACACACACACACACACACACACACACACACACACACACACACACACACACACACACACACACACACGCACGCACACACACACACGCACACGCACACACACACACACTCTAATTGGACTCCTCATGGAGGAATATTGATGACATGCCAGCATTCTCCTCAGCAGAGCGTCAGCAGAGCGTCAGCAGCTTTTTGGAAAATATCAAGAGTTCCTGTTCTGACTTCCAACCAATTACCTTTGTGTCCTTTACTGAAGAGCTGCTCACAGAAGAATAATGAACACAACACACACTTGACTTTTCACAATGAGCTCCTTCTTGTTCCTAGAACCCGGCCCTAACTGAAAGCCATTCTGTCTCTTTGTAATGTGTTTAATGGAAGCCAACAGACTTGCTGTATCCGCATTACTAGCAAGGTACTCAGGAAGAGTCAGGCCCGTTTTGAATAGGGGTTGTTATGCAGTACATACAAATTATTAGCATGCATTATTTCAAAACCAATCTTTGCATGAGTCTTTGTGGTGAAATGAAGTTTGTGTTTTAGTGTTAAAAACTGCTTGTTTTGTGAAGTTTTTAAATTATGAAATGCTTGTTGACCAGAATGTATAGAAGCATGTTTTTACATGTTCAAATTCGGCCTCGTCCACACGTGCACAGGTGTTTTTGTAAATCAAGTGTTTACTTTCCTCCACACCCAAACTGTTTTGTCGACTCACAGCTGAGTTCATCCAGCCAGGCTCAATATTTTCAGAAACTCCAATTTCATTATAACAATGATGTGCTTTTGGCTTGTCACGTAAAGACTCTTCTTTATTTACAGCGGTCACTGTGTGCATGTGTGTGTGTGTTTCCATTGTGTTTTCTGGTTATCTGGTGGTATAATTTATTCAAGCTGTGCTTACCCAGATTGTATTTTTTATTTAGACAATCCCCTGTTTACAAAACGCCTGTGTCTGTGTGGATGGTTACCACTTCAAGTGATTTGGTCTGGCCTGGTTCGGTACAGCATATATCGTAATGAGGACTTTATGTGTAAAATGTACTCTTTCCTTTTTGTACCAACTTTCTCTCACCCCTTTTTCAGGGTCCCCCTGGACGGGCAGGCTTTCCGGTAACGCTCTTTTGAACTTGTGTCTCTGTGTTTGCATGAGCAACTAGTCATCACTGCAGTATTGATCTCTCACCTGCTTCCACTGACACATGCTCTGATATTCAAATGAGTTCTAATGAACATAGATGAAGTGAAACATGTCAAAAGAACTACCATCTGCTCTATCAGATGATAGCTAGTTATAACTACATTCAAATAAATTGATTAATTATCTTGATAAAAAATATCTTGAACATGGGCGGCGCCAGAGATTTTCTGTTGAGGGTGCTGTGGGGTAGCTTGCCGCTTCATAGAGGTTGCTCAAACATGTAGGGTTTCCCATTAAGGTAGCTATATGGGCTACAGTGAAATGTTCAACTGCAACACTCCCCACACGCACATACAGTAGGCTACACCCGCGGCTGTTACAATGAAGGCTCGATAATCAGCTCACGGCATATAGGAAGGATACAGTGCTATTTTTTATAAGTGGGGGGCGGACCTGCCTCCTAGGGCTGAAGTTAAAGTTAAAATATTGAAGTTAAAAGCATCAATCTGGTGCACTTTGAGAGCAACATGAAGAGATCTATGGATACATCTCTCAACACCCAGATGAAACACAACTGTAAACTGTATGGATATTTCACAAATCACTCCCCTTTCAAACTGTATTCTTATTTTACTGTCATATAGTATTTCATACCTGTTTTTCATGTATGCTCTTATTGTTTTATAGCCTAACTATAATGATCATATGAAGGTGTGCCTCGGAAATACTTTTTTACATAAATGGTGATCAAACTGTTTTGAGACCCACTGAGATAACTTAGACTAAAGTGAACTATCTAAACACTGAGAGAGTCCTTTAGCTCACTGAGCTGACGTTATCTGACAGGAGAGGACTTTCCTTTCACTTAGTTGTAGAAACAGCTTCTAATATCCGTTAGCGCAGTAACAACAATCTTGCTCTCTCTCTCTCTCTCTCTCTCTCGCTCGCTCACTCACTCACTCACTCGCGAGCTCTTGCCACACACACGGAGCCGAGCTTGAATGAAACACCCAGAACTAGGCTACTTGTACTATAGCATATCATTTTCGAATCAATCATTTTTCAAATTATGAATTTCACATATATAAAAAACAAACATACATTTCTTGGGGTTGCTTAGCAGTTGCTAGGCCAATTGTTGCTGTTGCTGTAGCAACTGCAAGCTACCGCTTGGCGCCGCCCCGGATCTTGAACAATGTTTTCTCCAACAAAATACATCTTTATCTATAAAACTCTTGTGTTGAATTTGCACTGGAGCCTATTTGGGGCAATGATTAAAGAAAGGCTATGCAACTCAATAAAAACACACACACACACACACACACACACACACACACACACACACTCCATCTTACAAATGAAGGTTGAATCCAAGAGCAATGCTCTCCATAAATGAATTTACATGACCGGTAGCTTCTTGTAGCTTGCAGCAAACTTTCGCTACATATTGTAAAATGAAATGAGTTTGTAGCTGGGTCCAGGCTATAGTTACAGAACAGGGGTTCTTCAAATCAAATCGAATCAAGTTTTATTTATATAGCAAATTTATAAACGATTTTGGGTCGAGCCAAAGTGCTGTACATATAATAAAAATAGCCTACAGTAGAGACACTTTACAGCAAATACAACAGCACAGATTGTTCAGAATATCAGTATGAGAAAAACGACACCCTCTATCCTTAGACCCTCTATCCTTAGACCCTCTGTCCTTAGACCCTCACATCGTACAAGGAAACACTTCCAGAGAAAACCCACAGTTTAAAGGTGGGGTAGGTAAGTTTCAGAAACCGGCTTGAGATACACTTTTTGTTATATTCCGATAGCAATGAATATCTTAAGTGCTTTGACAAAAAATCCATAACAAAATGTCCTCTGTGGAAGCTGTAGTACTGTAAAAAGCACGACCAATCCGGGCCGGCTAAACGGATTGGATTGCCGCCCTGTCTGTCAGCCTTCCATCTCGTGCACGCACAAATGTATCTTGTGCCCTCATTGGGCGTGCCGTCATTGGGCGTGCATTGCACGTTCATGTGTGTTGGAGGAGGTGCTCTGTAAGGAAGTCTGAAGGAAGGGGCGGATTCTTTTCGGCTGTGTACTTTCAAATTTTAGTGCACTCGAGCCGGTTTCTGAAACTTACCTACCCCACCTTTAAGTGGAAAAAATGGGAGAAACCTCAGGGAGAGCAACAGAGGAGGGATCCCTCTCCCAGGACGGACAGACGTGCAATAGATGCCGTGTGTAAATCGAAGAGATAATGCATTTTACAGCATATAGACCGAATGTTAGGAAATGCATGTGTCTGTAATAAGAAGATGAATCCACGAGGATGTCAGCTACAATCCTGTGGAAGCCATCAGGGAAGCAGCATGACGAGACCCAAGGCAGGACCGCAGAGACAGGTTCAGCCACGACCCGAAGGCCACGACTTAATCCAGAACTCAGGATAGAGGATCCAAGACACAGGACTACAGCAAGAGGATCAGCCTCGACTCCGGATCCCGGCGTAGTAGATATAGATACAAAACAAGAACAAAGATTTGGCTGGGTTAATCGGAACAAGAGAATACACAGACACAGATAGAGAGGGAAAAGGTAATTGGATAAAAGTTATTCTTGATAACCCTCTAGAAAGATCTCATGAACTTCCCCACTCAATCTATCAAGACCCGAGCAGTTCTATTATATATAGGATAAGAAACAGAGATAGGGAGCACAACAACCTATCTCTTCGTCAGATGCACTCCCCCGCTTATCTAAGCGACTCTGTACCCCGTTACCCTCTACAAGGCCATAGACCAGCAGAGGGACCGTTACCATCTACAAGGCCATAGACCAGCAGAGGGACCGTTACCCTCTACAAGGCCATAGACCAGCAGAGGGACCGTTACCCTCTACAAGGCCCATAGACCAGCAGAGGGACCGTTACCCTCTACAAGGCCATAGACCAGCAGAGGGACCGTTACCATCAACAAGCCATAGACCAGCAGAGGGACCGTTACCCTCTACAAGGCCATAGACCAGCAGAGGGACCGTTACCCTCTACAAGGCCATAGACCAGCAGAGGGACCGTTACCATCTACAAGGCCATAGACCAGCAGAGGGGACCGTTACCATCTACAAGGCCATAGACCAGCAGAGGGACCGTTACCCTCTACAAGGCCATAGACCAGCAGAGGGACCGTTACCCTCTACAAGGCCATAGACCAGCAGAGGGGGACCGTTACCATCTACAAGGCCATAGGACCAGCAGAGGGACCGTTACCCTCTACAAGGGCCATAGACCAGCAGAGGGACCGTTACCCTCTACAAAGGCCATAGACCAGCAGAGGGACCGTTACCCTCTACAAGGCCATAGACCAGCAGAGGGACCGTTACCCTCTACAAGGCCATAGACCAGCAGAGGGACCGTTACCCTCTACAAGGCCATAGACCAGCAGAGGGACCGTTACCCTCTACAAGGCCATAGACCAGCAGAGGGAAAATGGGGGGTGGGTAAGGGTAAGGGTTTTTAAGAATAAACCGCAAGGGTCTAAAGGGAAAAAATATGAAATATAAGGTACTATATTTTAAGTAATCCTATCTACTATTCCTATATTTGAATAATGTATAAACTATTTTAAAAATACTTTATGAAATCCTATGTTATGTTATAAATATTAAAATAAAGAACTAAATTAATAAATAAATAACTAAATAAATAAATAAATAGATAATTAAACAAAAGCCAAAGGGAAAAAGTGAGTTTTAAGTGTTGATTTAAAAACCCCCAGGATCTGGGCCGACCTCACATGGAGGGGCAAAGTATTCCAGAGCCTAGGGCCAGCCGCTGCGAAAGCTCGATGCCCTCTGGTTTTAAGCCTGGTCTTAGGCACTATCAGCAGCAGCTGATCAGCCGACCTTAAGGCTCTGCCTGGGGTGTAGCGATGGAGGAGTTTGGCTATATAGGCAGGAGCCAGCCCATTTAGGGCTTTAAAAACAAATAAAAGGAGTTTAAAATCTATTCTGAACCGAACTGGAAGCCAGTGCAATGAAGCCAGAATTGGGGTGATATGGTCAGGCTTTTTATGGCCAGTAAGAAGACGTGCAGCTGCGTTCTGAACTAGCTGCAGGCGTCTAATTGAGGCCTGGTCCATACCCACATACAGAGCATTGCAGTAATCCAGTCTTGAGGTAACAAAGGCGTTAATAACCCTTTCTAGGTCTTTAAAAGATAAAAACGACTTGGTCTTAGCCAATAGTCGTATTTTGAAAAAGCAGGTCTTGACTACAGTGCTAACCTGCTTATCAAATTTAAAGGCGCTGTTGAAGGTCACTCCAAGGTTCATGACAGAGGGGGGGATATTTTTATTGAGGGAGCCCAGAATATCAACCGGGGAGACTGTTGGTTGGGGTCCAAAAAAGATGACCTCGGTCTTACTCTCATTGAGGGTGAGGGAGTTGGAGCTTATTTATGTCTTGCGTAGTAATATGGATAACAAGGTCTCTCTTAGTAAAAACAGGATATAAACACCAGGGTCTGCATCAGTGGCGGCTGGTGGAATGTTCTCTAGGTAGGGCTGTGCCACATGCAATCCATCTCAGCAAACATCCCAGTATGACTTCATGCAAAGAAACCAGGAGTTTTCAGTGTTCATTTATCAGTCTTACATTTGAATGCCTCCATAAACAATTGAAGCATTTGAGACTGAGGACTTTGTACACAAACTTAAAAACAATGGCATTAGCAATACTTGCATACATATAAGAATGTATATGTATATATATGATGTATATCATATATATGTATGGAAATATTTGATATATATATATATGTATATGTATGTAAATAAATATATATATATATATATATTA